TGTGCCAACACACGTTCTCACACTCCCCACACCTGTGGGCTGCTTTGTGCTGTGTGAGATTATGCCTCTTACCTGAGCTTGCACTGCAGTAATGTGGAAGTAGAAGAGAGCAAGGGACCGATGTCCTGAGATAAAACGCTGCCAAACACAGCCTTTTCCTGGAGTCATTAATCAGAGAAGTGTTTAGCCCAGCTAGCCAGGCCTGAGAGGTCAAATGGGTCATGTAATGACTTCAAATCTTTTCCTTTTGCTGAAGCAATTTGATTCAAGACTGCAGGTGGCTGGAGATCAGTGCTTCCTTCCAGCTCAAGCAGGAAAGGTGGTGAATTGTAGCTGGGGTCATGCTGGGCTTGGTGGTTTGTAACTGCAGGTGCTGGAGCCATCGGCAGAGAGGACGAGCAAAGGAACCTGTTTGCGGAAAGGGGCTGCTGCAGGAGGCAGAGCCATTTCCTCCACGTCGGGCATGGTGAGTTCCCCCTTCACCCACAGGAAACCTGGATCCTTTAAAAGCTTCCCCAATCACATCCCACTCGTCATCCCTCAGATGTTTCTTTGTGTTGAAATTATCCTAGTGACTTTTCCTTCAGGGCATTAAGGACAGTAACACTCCGGGCACTATCGCCCAGATAATCCAACACTTAAAGCATGCTCTGTAGAACAGGAACTGATGACTAGCTTGGCCCCTAGATCTGTTCATCTGCATGAAAGAGGCTTCATTTTCTGTACCAGTGTCCTGCAACGTGGTTGAATTCTGTGGTTGAATTCTCTGTTTGCCTCTGTTTGGTGCTGCATAAATTCAGGACTACTGCAGGCTTCTGGTTCCCAGGATTAACGCTGGAAGAGCTGTCAGCAAGACAACAGGGTGTCCTAACTTTACTGTGCAGAGAAAGTAGGAAATAGCTCCATTTGTTCACCAGAAAAAAAGTCTGTGGCCTTCAAGAGTAGCCCTTAGTCTCAGTTCCCCTTGCAGTGGCAATAAGGCTGCATAAAATGAGCTTCAGCTGAAATGTGAAAATGGCTTTAAACTGTATGGCTGAAAATCTGAGGTTTATTAGGTTGTTTTCAGTGCATGGGAGCAGCGCTTGTACAAATTTAGCCTTTAGTCTTTGCGAAATACCAGGTTCTTATGTGAAAAGTAGGAATTCTAAAATTATCTCACCCAAATTCGGAACTGTCACAAGCAGTGGCAGCTTGTCATCTCTGGAGGAAACTTGAGAAGAGTAAATAATGATGAAAAGAGTAAAAATAGTGATAGATAGTGATAAAAACAATGAACATCTCCTGTATCGCTGTGGGGGTGGGAGAGCAACAGTTAGCACTGGGTTAACAGTGTCTTCAGCCAGCAAAGTGTCCTTTGCAAAGGGATGGCTGTCCTTCCCATTGCTGTGGGTGAGGAGGATCCACAGGGATCAGATCCACGGGGGAATGGCTAATACACTGCAAATTCCTACCTGCCTTACTGCTTGCTGGCTCCTCTGGGCTAAGAACTCCTCAGGCAGCTGTTTCCTGGTGTCGTGGGGATGGTGGCCGTCTCTTGCACTGACACTGAAGATCAGTTTTTAAATTGATGCAAAATTAAAGTCAATGCAAAATAAACATCAGCAGGTTAAAGCAAGTGCCATGTAGTGGTGTTGACCTACTCAGCGGGCACTTTTAAGGCCAGTTTTCTTCTCTATTATATGAAGAAATGAGGATTTACATCAATCAACCCTTTGAGTACGGACAGCACTATTGGGGAAAAGTAGCTCATTTTAGAAGGATTTTCAGAAGAAACAGCCAATAACCACTGATATTTTACAAGCTTAACATACAGCAGAGTAAACTGATCTAAACCTGGATGCGATGGTGCTGTGTCTCCCCTGTTTCCACACCTATTCCCACCTCCTCACCCTCTACCTGTAGTGCTAATGTGGCAGTGCAAGAGGTTTGGGGAGCTGTGAAATTGGGATTTGGCAGGGAGAGGGGGTAGATTTGTTTTCAGCTCAAGCATCTCGCTGAACAGGCTCATTGGGCTCTAGGCAAGGAGAGCTGAACTTCTTTCTGCCTTGAATCTGCTGGGCGCTCAGGCTTGTTCAGTACGTTCAAGGCCTGTGGTTCAGCTGAGCTTTCCCATTTTCCCTTTGCTAACCAATATGTTTATCTGTTCTCAGCTCATCCTTCATGAGCTCATTAAAGAATATAAACCCAGCTGTTTCCTAGTGAATTTTTTATTCCATTCTTTTTATTCTGTAGTGTATTTACCAGTCTGTTGTGAAATGCTTCACTTCTGGTCTGCAAACACAGTAGATGCCTCTGCAGTGCTAGTGAAGGGCTTTCTCTCTGGGGTTTCTGCAGGTACTCAGGCTGAAGGAGTCTCTCTCTCAGGCAGACTTCCAGGGCTGGGCTGTGTCTTTTTGTTGATCTTGGGCCTCCCCAGCATCACACAAATGGTGAGGAGTAATCCTTCTGTCAATGTTGCCTTTCACAGATGTCTCTGGCAGTCCTGTCAGCGTGGACGTTGGAAAGTGCTGGTCCAGCTACCTGTGCCAGCAGATCAGCTCCCCATACCCTGACCTCCTGGGGGTCTCCAGACACTCCTCCATGCTTGATTTCCTTAGAAGCAAGAGGGTGAGAAAAGTGTGTTTATGTCATCCCCATGGCAGGAGCAGTTGGTTCTGAGTGAAGCTCATACACTGGTGCCTTGGCTTCTGCATTGCAGAAAACCCCTCACTGACCCTCTCATCCTCCCTTACCAGCAAGCAGTGGAATATGCAGACCAGACAAATGGAAACTATCCAGCAATGCTGGATACCTCATGGCAGAGGAAGGACCAGAACTCAGTGGAAGGGCTATCACAGCACCTACCCAGCTGCTCCAGGCAGCATCCAAGCGTATTTCTGTCCTTCCCCAGCCCAGCAGTGAGACCAACTCTTTCAGCCACATCTGCTGTACGTGAGAGCTGGTGTCCTGTATGTAGAAGGGTTGGAGGCCTTTTTCTACCTGGTTGAGCAAAACTGGCAGGACCTGTGATTTCATGATGGATATCTGGCCTTTAAGGTGCTTATCTCATTCCCTTATCACATACTGGTGCACTTGGGGCCACAGCTATGCACAGGCTGCGATGCTCTCCTGATCCTAGAAGAGCTGATGTTCCCTAAAGTCCCATCTCCACCAGGATAACTAACCCTGGAGAGGGAATGGAAACAAGCTCTGCAGACTGCTGCACGTATGTATCCTGTGAGTGTTCACCTGGGGGCTGTAGCCATGAAAAATCTAGTTGCCACTTGTCCCACTGTTGTCACAACTGTGGCACTGCTGGTGCAACATCTTCCAGGCAGGCAGGTCCACGTTCATTCCCCAGAGCTGTCATCACGCTGACCCTCCAGATCAGGAGCCTGGGGTGAAACTGGGAGGATTGTTTTAGCCAACTGATTGTAGTGGGCTTTTGAGGAATAAACAATTTTGATATCAATGTGTCACTGGGAAGAGCAGCACCACAGCAACACAGTGCTGCCATGCAGGGAGAAAAGAGTAAAAGCGGGGTCAGTTCTAGGTCAGGAGAGGTATTTTTATTAGGGAGCCGATGCTGGAAGTTGTTCTCCATGACCTGTTTTTACCAGGGTATGTGCCACTTGCCCTGTTCTGCATAGCTGCAGGTCCAGCACCCTGACTCACTGCTGCGGCTGGGAGCCCCGCGTTCCTGCCCTGCGGGGTCCCGCTGACAGCCTGCCTGCGTGCGCGTGGAGCAGCTCTTGCTCTCCGAAGGCATTCGGGAGGTGGAGGTGGTCAACAGCTGTCACTGCAGCATGTGCCCTGAGGAACGTCTCTGTCTCCCAGCTCTGAAAACCTTTCCAGACTCTCTCTGGGAGGTCACAGTCGATGTGGGGAAATGCTCTGACCCGACCTACAGTGCAGGTATGGGAACAATGGAGAGGTCTCCTCTCTCCAGGAATATGGGGATGAGCCCTTCTATGTGACCAGCACCAACGTCAGAGCTCAGAAAGTGATCTAACAACAATCCCATCTGCCTTCGGTGGGAATGGGATTGTATTTTATACTCTTGGGGTTTGGATCTTCTTTTCCCTTCTGTTGCTGGGCCCTTACAGCACAGGTCAGCCTGTGAACTGGTAATTCTCATGATGTGAGGGTGGAAATACAACCACGTGATACAAGGAAGTAACCAGAGACCATAGAGTAACCCAGGCTGGAAGGGACCTTGGGGGTCTCCACTTCAACACCCCACTCAAAGCAAGAAAAACAACCTGCTGATAAAAGCTCCACTGAAAACAGACCACTAAGCAACCACTAAAAAATGGACTTTCCTTTCTGCTGGTCTGAAATGCCCTTTTACCTCATCAGCACCAGTGAACTACACTGATGTTTCAAAAATCACTCAGAAATGGAAACTCCAAACTAAATTGTTCCAGACAAGTCAAAACCTTCCACTAGGACAAAGCCAAACTGGTTCATCGTGAACTGATGTGCTGTCTTGTGAGTTTACATGTTACCTGAGACTCACTGTTAAAGGAATTTAACTCAGTCGGTGGGTAACTCCAGGTTTGCTTTATTTACAACTCAGAGTTGGTTCATCACCTCAGTGAGTGGCAAAGGCATTGCAAAAATCAGGCTCTGTATATACACTAAATTTAACATTATACAGTAGGTATTCCTTTCAAAGTTCTTAGTGTTTTCCCATGAACCCTCAGTTTCAAATTTCTCATTAATTTAAAATTCTGTAAAAGTCCACAGTGATCTTCAAACTTGGCTGATTCTTCTCGTCTCATCTCGGTGCCTCTTCAGCAGTTGCAGCCCCGCTGGTCCCACTCTGGTCACTGGATTCACTGATCTTCTTGAATGATCTTCCTGTCTGCTCACCTTGGCACTTCTGAGAAAAACTTACATAATGACATTTAACTTCTGTCTATTTTCAAATCTGGAATCTTTCCCAATTCACTTACTCCAAATTAATCACTTCTCCTCTATAATTGCTATGTCTCTAAATTTTATTATTCTTGTTGATTTGGCTGGATTAGGTTTAAACCAACCATGGAGAGCGCTGTACAAGGGACAAAGTGAGAAGCAGCATGGTTGCATGGTTTATAAGAAGTATTCTATTATTTCATAGCACGTGTTCCTAATTTTTCATCTTAACCATAATACTTCTATTAATATCATTTTACCTATGAGCATTCTCTTGGAGTCTTTCCCTTTTACAGTCACTTCAGTGAAGATGAACTTAACTGTTTTTATCAGAATGGAAAATCGTGTTGAAATGATTTTCCATAACTGCTTGATGAAATCAGTTCTCCTGGAATTTGTTGATGTCAATTTATTGACATTTCTGCATCCAAAACCATCCCACTAATACCTTCCTGGCAGCTCCTGTGACACCACTGTACAACAGCCACTAGAGAGGGACAGAGACCAAGGGCGAGTCCTGACCTGAGCTTGAAAAGCGGTGAAGGGGCCTGAGCTAGAGGGGCTGGGGGAGCCCGATGGGTGGTGGAGAAAACAAAACCCCAAGGAATTTGCTTGCGGATATGTCCCATCCTCAGAGAGCTGGAGGAGGGTCTGCACACAGGCATCAGCGCTCCCGCTTGTGTAATCTGGCTGCAAGACACAGCAAATGGAAAAGAAAATTAGGCAGTGTGAAGTGCTTTTTTCCAGAGGTGGGAAATCAGCATTTACTTCCCAGACGTGTGACTGGAAGGTGCTGGATGATGCTGTTGTCCCCGGGGTGACTGTGGCTCATTCAGTGATAATGGCCCGGGGCTGGGAAATGTGGACTCACCCCCAGCTTTGCTCTGTCCTAGGGCAGGTCTCGGCACTTTCCTTCTGGATTTTCCCTGTAAAGTCAGGCTGACACTTACAGTGTCATGTTAAAGACTGGCCATGTCAGAGGAGCAGGAGACCTGGAGAAGGATCTGAAAAATATCACCCAGAAATACTGGCTTCCAGAAATTGTCTGTCATTTTGTGTCCTGCTCTTAAGGCATCCCAGAGAGATTTGCTTTCAGAAAACAGTTTTCCCTTCCCTGAAAACTCAGCCCCATCCTGGAATGAAGAAATCTCCTCCAGCAGCTGATGAAGCAGCTGGGAGGGGGCAGGAAACTCTCACAACCATTTTAAAGCCAGGAAGCCAACAGAAACCCTGAAGGACCCTCACCCAAGGGCTGGGACAGGGCAAGGCTGGGTCCTGTTTAGAGCCAAAACACAAGGCTAGCTTAGCCGTCAGCGTAGCCATCCTCCTACCCCTCCTCTAGCTCATGCAATGGAGATCTCAATCCAGATTTACTTGGTGAGGGAGAGAAGAGCTGTGAGGATTAGCAGATAAAACTGTTTCTACGCAGAATGTGTTCAGACTGAGCTAGGTAGGACAGCCTGTGCCTGGCTCCTTCCTACTGGCCCCGAGTTCCTGCTGGAGGAGCCTCCAACTCTCCTCTCCAGCTGCTGAGCCCCTGCCTGGGCCAGCCGGGACCTGCCATGGAGGCAGCATGTCCTGGCCTGGAGGTGACATGGCAGCGTAGACGTGGGCTTTTGGCATGTCCACCCAAAGCCCCCCTTCGCCCTGCTCTCCACATGGCTTCCTTAACAATGACATCCTTAACTGTCAAATCTGAACATAACTTTTTTTTCCCCTGCATGTTTTTAATTGAGTTCAAGCTTGAATAGGTAAAGAAAATCCAAAGCAGGACTTCATCCTGCACCCCTAGAACCAGGGCCATCACCTGCCTTCCCGTCCCTCTCCTCTTGTACCAGCCTTCCTCTGTCCCATGGCGCAGGTAGGGCAGATGTAATAACTTGTGCTGATGTGGGGAAACTCTGCCTCCATCATGCCAGCTCCAGCCAGCTCATCTGCTTGTGTGGAGAGCTGAGATCCCAGCCCAAATCAAATCCTTCAATATCTCCAGGAGAGTGGGTGACACTAACTCCAGCATCTGAGAAACCTGTGCAGGGCACAGCCCCCCTGGCAAATCCGGAGAGAAATGCTGAATGAGTAAATGTTAAATCATGTTTCCCAGCTCCCTGGTGTGAAAGCATGTCTCTGGAAAAAAGCATTGCCATGAATATTTTATGTCTAAAGACCTTTTTTTTCTCAAAGATAATGTGTGATAGCTCAGGCTGTTTCCCAAGAGATGGGGCTTTCACAGGCTCAGGTGCAGGATTCACAATGTGCACCCAGAATAAACTCTTTTTGCCTCTCTGTGGTCTGAAACTGAGATAGAGGAACAAAACCTATTACTGAGGCGCTGACGTGGTGAAGGAATGAGCCCCAAAGTCTCAGCTGGGGACCCTCACACAGAAAACAGCACTTTCCGTGCCGGGTGCTGGACACCAGAGCCTGACGCTGCGTCTGTGCTGCATGGCAAAGCTCTGGTGAAGATACTGCAGCCATAACAGCCTCAGATCACAGAATCACAGAATCATAGTGGTTGGAAAAGACCTCTAAGATCGCCGAGTGCAACAATAAACCCAACACTACCAATTCCACCACTAAACTGTGTCCCTGAGCGCCTCGTCTACCCGCCTTCTAAATCCCACCAGGGAAGGGGACTCCGCCACCTCCCTGGGCAGCCTGTTCCAGTGCTTGACCAGCCTTTCAGTGAAGAAATTTTTCCTCAGATCCAATCTAAACCTCCCCTGGCACAACTTGAGGCCATTCCCTCTTGTTCTATTGCTTGTTACCTGGGTGAAGAGACTGACTCCCACCTCTCTCCACCCTCCTTGCAGGGACTTGGACAGAGCCAGAAGGTCTCCCCTCAGCCTCCTTTTCTCCAGGCTCAACAACCCCAGTTCCCTCAGCCGCTTCTTGTAGAACGAGTAGATGCAGCCCCAGGTTAAATTTTCTTCTTGTCTCCTTGCAGATGGACTTTTCTGCATACCCACAAAGTTCAGCACCGCTCTAGTCAAAAACCCACAAGGCGGGGAGGTGGTTTGGATGCTGGAGAACTGTGAAATGAAGGAAAAATGCTATCGTGTTTCCCAGGTGGAATATTGTTAAGAAATTGTGCACAACTCTGCAGGACGCAGGGAGGAACGGCTCAAGGTTGGTTTCCTGCAACTTGGCCTCCTCTCTGGTGGGCTCAGCTGTGCTGTTGGGCCCACATGCAAGGTTTGAACAGCTGGGAGGATGCTCTGATATGGGCAACTTCACCCTGGTAGAGCTAAGCACACCCTGGCCACAAACTATAGTGGTAAAAATCTCACATTTATGTTACCTTGTGCTATAAAATGTATTTTACTGCCACTAATTTTTATATCCATGCCAACTATATCCTGGGCTGCATCCAGAGCAGCGTGG